ATTCAGCCGAGGCAATGGGTCTCACACACAGAATCACCTTCGAGTGCCGAGTTGAGCTGCTCGGCTTTGAGAATGATGACGTGGAGCATTATGTACGCAACATCCTATCGAACAGGCATTCCGCTGCTTCGCCGGACCTGGTACGGAGTATGCCACAGCTGGAGTCAGGAGTCAGGAGACTATGGTGCATGGTTCTTTGCCGACGCCTTGTGCAAGCTGTATAGCAGCATTGAGTAGCTGCCCCGGCAGACTAGGCACCATTCTGAACTCTATGGTCGTCAAGGTGCAGCAGGAGAAGGTTTTGCACCGCACAGCTCATGCAGTCCTGCAGCTGGGAAGATGTGTCCACAGATGTCATCAACATCTCAAACTACAGTACTAGTATTTCACCTTGCCCGTGTGTGCTTGCCGATAAATGTTCTGCTGAAATAGGTAGCATGACGTCTGCAAGACGACGCTCTTTGCCGATGCGGATTCTAGAGCCTTTGATTCTCTGCTCGGTGCACGATCCATAGGCCTGCTCATAGGTTGCGACAAAGAGTCACCCGTAGAAAAGCAACAGCAGTGATTCAACCATCTCACGCTCCAAGAGGCACTGGTGGCTCGTTATGTCGCCAGCAATGATCTTAATGAGACGAATGTGGCTAGACTGGCTAGCTATTTGGGTGCTTGCACATTGCATCTGGATGCTCTTAGCCATTGAAGTGGATAGCAACTGGATGGATGTGCTGCTACAAACCAGTCCACGGTTGTTTCCATGTGCGCCGTGTGTCTTGCGAGGCGCCGAGGACCACCCTGTCACTTGTCTTCCTGTCCGGATACCACGATAACGCCATCCAATGGGCCAACCATCTATCCACCGTTCTACCCGCGGGACAACGCCGAGTATCTTGCCGAAGAGCTGCTCAAAGGAAAACAAATGGTCTAGCATCCTCCGCTACCAACGCCATCAAGGCCGAAGTGATGCCAGTTCCTGAATCACCAGCACGGGCGACCGACAAGCTCTTCTCTCACCATGGGCTTGTCTTGTTCAAAGCATGTCCACTCCGATGTTGTATGATGCCGTAGGGGAGTTTTTGGGCCTGGATAGGCAATGACGTGTTTCAGCATCACGGCAAAGTGCAAGGCCTGCAGCTCCTTTCGTGACGCTACAACCCTGCAGTCAGAATTCAGGCGCGTGCCTCGTATGGGTTCCTGGGTGCCCGGAACCCCCCTTTTTTCGGTCAAAATGCAGGATTTTGCTTTATTTTTTGAACAATTTCCCTGGGGGTGGCCCCCGGAAGCCCCCCCCCCCCCCATGAAGGTCACCGGCGCATGCGCCTGATCTGTCTCCACCGCTGGAAGATGTTAGTGATGATGACTGGCAGCAGAACATCCTGTGTGCCCATCGTGTGGTCGTGGGGCTTGCACAAACTGGCAACGAGACGGCAAGCATGCTTACCAGCCCAAGCCAAGCCTTGGATCAGTCTGGTCTTGATTTCTGTAGTCTACCACTGACACAGGTCAACTGCCCTGCTCTTTGCTGTACTACTGAACTATCACCCGTACAAGCACCGTTTTCAATCTCTCCGTTTGCTAAATCAGCGACGACAAACACGAGTGCCTCGCTGCTGGGCTGACATTGTTGAACATGCAGTGGAACAGCCTTACGGATCGGCATGAAGGCAACATCGGCACCATGATTCAATCCAGCGGACCATCATTGCAGCGTACATACACTACTTGGAGAGAATTCTCGAGTCGTGGCAACAAACGCAAATGCACGCCAACACACACCAGCGCAGTCAGCTCCTGGCACAGTAGATCAGAGGCCAAGGCTCAATTGATGTTGACATTGATCTTCAGCTTCTATCCGGCATCCTGTTCAGCTGTACACTAGTGGCCTGCAGTACCTTATCCAAGTGGATATTCTTACTCAAACTATTATTTTCTTACTCATTACAAAAAAAAGGAGAACGAAAATCCACTTGGACAAGGTGCTGCAGGCCACTACAGCTGAACAGGATGCCGGACAGAAGCTGAAGGTCAGTGCCAACATCTTGGCCTCTGTTCGACAGCGCCAGGAGCTAGCTGTGCTGGTGTGTGTTGGCGCCGTTTGCCTTTCACACACTGCATTGTTGATCACTTACACAACAAGAAGTAAAAGACAACCCTCCAATAGCTGCTTTGGATTTACTCATAGTTCAACCACAAGTACATGCATTGTGAAATTGTGTATTTACCGCCATATTGCCAGGTGCGTGTTTACCACCATAATATTATTATGAATAAAATACTCGTCAGATCTTGTTTCTCAAAAAAACAAAAAAACATGCATTGTGACAGACATCTCACAAAGATTCATCCAGTGTACCATGGTGTACTGAACGTGCTCAGATACTGCTTTATCGGTCTGACCCCCCCCCCTCCCCCGTCAGATCGTTGCACAACAATACAATACATGATTGTATATCACAGAGGCAGTGCACCTTGATCTGCAATTGTGCTCAAATGCCCGTAGTGGACAGAGCGCAGTGCGCAAGAGGTGCACGAAAGGAAGTAAAAATTAATAGGACTGTTTCGTTGTTACTCAGAGTTTCATGGCAAACACCAATCCTCAGACAACAGAAAAAGCGCAGGTATATGAAGGCAAGCAGAGGAGATAACGAAACAACGAAACCGCCCTATTGTACTTCCTTTTGTGTACCTCTTGCGTACATGTACATGTACATCATAATAAAATTATTATAATGACTATGCACACTGTACATCTTCATCTTGTCAGGTTACGACCAACAGAATGAGTGGCAGGTGGAGGCTAACCAAACCCTTGAGCATCTGCTTCGTAGTAAGAAAATGTTCATGATGGAATTTCCTCTGATTACCCCCCCCCCCCCCCTCCGCATTCTAACCCTCGTAACTCTGTAATAATCAGCTCGCATTTGAATCCTTTCCTCCATGCAAGGACCATGGATTATGCAGCACACAGGGCACGTCTTCTATGGACTCCAATGATAACCTACAAGACGTTGACGCGATCACTCAGTTGCAGGCTGCTTGTGCATGTACTGCTCCTGTGAATCTGCACTGCAGTGTTGTCCGTTGCAGTGTTGTCCGTTTGACTTCTAGGTGGTTCCTTTTGGCGTTGCGCTAGCTGCGCTAGGGGTTCGTGTTCAGCATGTAGCTCAGATGGTCAGAGCATTGCTGATGACAAGCAACCCGGCGGGTCTGGCATTTGTTCTCTTTTCAGGCAGTTCACTTCCCTGACTGACCATTTGAATTTCGGACATTAAGCAAGGTTTAAATACGTCATTAGTTTCAGGGAAAGACGCAAACGGGAAAATGCTGAAGGCCAAAATTGACTGTCACCACCAGGACTCGAACCAGGGCGTGACCATCGCTTATGGCCAGCGATGCTCTGCCACTACGCTACATGTACATGCACACATAATTATGACATAATGTTATAAGATTATTTACTCTGGGGCAGGGAAAAAGACCCAAGTGCCATCAGTATGTGTGGCACGTGTTGTGAGCTGCCTTTGGAGTGAAACATCTGTCAGCGCCTTCTGGGTTCTGCCTGGTCCCATAGCTCACATGGTTAGAGCATTGTTCATGACAAATAAGTAGAACACTCAATTGAAATGTAATGTTGAGCACAAAAGCTTCACAAGAAACCGTTACCTAAATGGCCTACCAGCGTGCAAAGGCGAAGTCACGCCTTTGCCCGTGTCAGCACAGCCGGCGGCAATATGCTGCAAAGGGGCTACAAAAAAAGAGGGAAACACCACTGCTTCCTGTACATTGAAGACTTCAAGTTACACTGTACTAGGCCAGTGAAACATGTCTTGCTTGACCGTTCAAAGGGATGTTCTAAATACATGTACATGTACATCGTTTGGTCTCTGTGACCAGGTGGTCTTCTTAATTCTTATCCAGTGTCAGTTGACTGCATGCAAGCAGCATCCCTTCCCCCGCCCCGGCTTGGTCCTCGTTGCAGTGGTCCTCTGGGACCTGGCCGCTGGGACAGGTGGTCGCCCTGACAGAGAGTTTGTTGTACATGTACATGTATTAATATTATCCAGTCTTGTTGGTTCTCCCTTGTAGTTAGAGTTTACCCAACGACATTTAAAAAAAGCATTGCATTGTGAAAATTAACAGGATTGGTTCAGTGATAAAGGACGTACATGTACAAGCAATACATGTTTGGATTACCAGTACTGAAATCACGTGCTGTGTCACCAGCAACGTCTCCAATGACGCACTCGGCTCTGCAGCGTCCGCATCAGCGCCTGTGCTGTGTCATTTCGTGGTGGCCCGTCAAGGAAATGGCTAACGTTTGCGATCCGAAAATGGACAGCCATTGGCAACATGTACGGGAATATCTGACTGTTGTCCTGTAGACTGTCAAATCAATCCAAGGATATGGTCCTCAAGGGCCCAACAATTACATGTATGTAGCTTTGCATGCTGCCGCTTCTCCAGCTAGTTTTTGGTAGCAAGCCAGTCGCCCAGAGGCTGAAACATTCCCTCACTCCTGTTGTATTTGATCTTTCATTTCAGTCTGCACAGTACCCGTCCTTTGTACTCTGCTGACAGGAATTCATTAGCTGCGTGCATGTGCTTTGACGTAGCGGCCATTGACTCATGCGGGTATTGCCCAGCACTCCCTGTATTCTGAAGCGAGTGACAGTCTTGGGGAAATCCCCTCCAATATCCCTGTAGTGCGACCTCGAAACTGGCAGGTTTCGCAGCTCGGCTGCTTTTACAGTACAGATGTGCGGAATATTTTATGTGCGGAATCGTCGCAAGGCTGTTGTTGTTGAGAGTGGCAGACGTACACACACGTCGCCACACTAGCGCTACATCACATGGGGTCACCTGGTCACAGCGTTATGACCAGTGGCAGTGACGAGCGAGGTCGAGGTGCCACCGTGACAGTGATTCCTATCAGTATCAGTGATGCTCAACTAGACTACATGTAACTGCCGCGCTGAGTGATGGGAGCTATCGGGAAAGCGTCTCATGTGATTCACGTCGACTTCGTGCAGCCTGTTGTAAAATGAACACCACACACAATGCTCAAATCAAAAATACCTTTGTCCTCGGCAAAGTGCGAACAGAATACTAGTAATGGCTAGGGAGTCAGATTGCATCCTCTGCGACGGACAACGAGCAGACTATAAACACTGAACTGAACGTGACGCGGTTGTCTTGTTTCTTGTTTGTTGTGTTTGCTGTGCCCGGCCAAGCGATTTCTTCCGTCCTGGTAAATCTAGCGGGGCTGTGTATCGCTGCGTCCTCTGGAGTCTGGTACCCACTGTCTCTGCACGCTGCATCTATTTGGCTGAATGAAAACCCTAAACGTTGGATGTGTGGTTTCAAGCTGTTGCTAGCATTACGGATATTGGTTGACTGAAGCTGTAGTGCTTGCAGGGTGCGCCCGATATTGTCTCCTCCAGCTCTCTTCACCCTAGCGAGGCATCTCCCGGCAGACGTGCGAGTTGTTTTTGCTTTTTCACTACGTCTTCGCACACCACCAGCTCAGACAAGAGTACCAACTGCACGGCAAACCAGGACAGGAGTGGTGCAAGAGCTCTGTGAAGGCTGTCTAGCGCGAAGAGTGCGTGAGCGGAGGCAGGGGCGAAGCTGATCGAGTGATGGCAACTGTGGCTCTGCAGCGACCAATGCCAGCAACTGCGTGCGGAGGTGTTGTTGGAAGCGGCAAAAGTGCGCCTGGCAGAGCAGGAGAGCGTTCAATTCTTGCCAGCAGCAACGCTAACAGCTCACAGCGCTCGTCCGTGGTTGCTGTCCGCAATACTGGTAAGTAATAGTTACTCATAGAGTCATAAAATACCAACGTACTCATCTAGCAGTGAGTTACACGATTCTTGCATTGAGAGTTTTGAACTACAACTCAATGTACATGTACATGTAAGTAACGTAAACAAAGTCTAGCGGACTGTGATGTAGGCCAATGACCGGCTTTGCTGCGGACTCTTCTCATGGCGTACACACGCACGCACGCACATTGGCACACATGCACAAACACGCACACACACACACACACACACACACACACACGCACACACACACACACACAGGGCACAACAGTCGAAGTTAGTTATTACTCACCCATGAGGCATGATACACAGAGTGAAGGAGTGCTGTGGGCCTGGAGCTCTGCACTGCAGATAATGCTCTGACATGTAAACTCGAGTAAGAACTGGCCAGGTATTTGGTCTTAATTTGACCACTTTTCGTCGCAGGTTGTATTTGAGGTACATGGCATACACACGTATGTCCAAAACTGTGTAATTGTCTGCATTACCACTCCCTTCGTTCTCAGTGGGGGTTTTCCCCGGAGAAGGGAAGATTTTTTTACTCAATTCCACAGAATCATCAGATGCTGGACATGGGGGGGGGGGGGGGGGGGCATTAACTTTGATAGTAGGGACTGCACACTGACCCCCGACTACGCTAAAGCTGCTCCTGACGGACACACACATACATGTACATGGAGCAAGGGGGGCCCGGGGGTGCAGACACCCTCCACACACCCCCCCCCCCCTGCACCCCCTATTTTCTGCCGACAGATTTGAAAATCTGAGTAGACAATCGTGTACCTGTGCTTGGCTGCACATGTAATAAATATACGCATATTGGGCACCCTGTTAGAAGATACACAATCTCATGACAGCTGGGTGTTTGGACCTTGTTAGGCCTAATCAGCGGAGCGCAGGGTGATTGGCCGAGCCAATCGCAATCAAGTCTAGCGAATAACAAAGCATTCTTTAAACTGACCCAAACCAACAAAGTCAGAGCGGTCTAACTACAACTGATAAACACAGCAAGCTCTGCACTGAGGCAGGTGACTTTGCGAGGGAGCGTGAAAATATTATTGTAAATACCATACTCGCACGATTAGAGTTCACATGGCATCCCCCCCCCCCCCTCCGGATTCATTTGATAGCCAGTCATGGACATCTACATCTGCATGTACATGACATTGTATTTATGAAGGTTAGTGATTCTCATCGACTTGTGCGAAAGACATCGTCGTAGACAGGTGTCTAAAGCGCGATGCATCACTTCTGCCCATGGAGCTGCGACGGCTTGCGATGCAGAGAAACGATTCCCAATTGCATTGCTTGTCGGGCCTCTATAGACCGTGGTTTCAAGAAAGAGGTTCCCCCTGATTTCACATCTTCGTCATATGACTAAAGTTGTGTGGAAAGTGATCATGGCATGTGGACAGTGGAAGTAACATGGCCCACATCACGTGACCCATAGATGCAAAGATACTGTATAATGGAGTAAAAACGAACATGGCTATCCTACATTGATGCGGTCATGTGATGGATATGAAGAAACGTCATGCATGGGCCCAAACTGGCTCGAAACATGCTACTGGAACACACCATTTGAGTCAACCCTTTTGGCCAAAAGAATCCAACCTGCTAGGCGAATGTTCCCTGTCACGTTCCGTTTCAATTTTGTTATGCATGGTCCAAAACCCCATCTGAGGGCCGCAGGAGCAGCATGAGCCCTGGCGCTGCTTTCACCTAACCGATTGGATTTAACTCGGACGGAGAGCCAAGAATTAAAATTAAAAAGAGAGGACCATGAGTTTACAAGTTTGACTCCTGCTGTATCCTGCTTATAGTTAGTGTTGGACAAAACGGATAACTTGTAAACTTTTAAAAAGGTCCTCTCCTTTCTTAAACTTTCATCGGATGTCTTTGGCCATTACTGTAGTACCCATGTTCTGACAGGGTAGGGTTATTTATTATCACAAGTGCCATCCTCAGGCAGGACAGTCAGTGATCGCCGTACTGTTGGGCATGCCAGTATATACATGAACATGTTCATGTATATACTGGCAACTGAAATCCGACCCCCTGAGCGGTGGTCTCACATCGCAAAGAATGTGAACCCACCGCTCAGGGGGTCGGATTTCATTTGCCAGCAGTGTACAATCACGTACATGTACATGTATGTAAGGGGAAAGAGGGTAGGTGCTGCTCATGATGTGTTACTGGTCTTACCCAGTATTATATATACAGCCATGTACACGTACATGTATACTAGCAATGTACAGCAGTTCCTATTCCGCTCTGCTCCTGCAGTCTCACTCAGGGTCGCTTCAAATGTTACGATGATTAATGCTTATGACTGTATTCCAGGCTCTCGCCTCTTGACTTGAGTGGTGGCTGATTACCATGCACTTAGCAAGACGAGACTTAGCCACTGATGATATTTATTGGTGTGAGGATCTGACCATGACCAAGTAATTAGTTTCAATGCACTCCTGCCGTGACTAAGCATAACGTACCTTGGCTACTGTGGGGTATGGACGCTGTGTACATGGTAACTGGTCGTGCCAGCACCTGTTCAGAGCCGCCCTACCGCAGCCACTGTCTTGCTAAAGGGGGCGCACAAGTGACTGGACATTGGGACTTCTGGGGACTCTGATCTGCCCATTGAAAACGACATTTTTCCCGAGAAAACCAATGAAAGACCTCTCTAGTCCAAGAGGCCTGTGACACGAGTAGAAATCTGGCTGAATGGCCGAATATGGCGATACGACTTTAAGGCAAGGCCAAAGCAAACATCAGGCGACAGCCTAGCATCACAGCAGGCTGCCCCGCCAGGGCCTTGATATCCAAGTGAAGATGTTTAATTAACCTCAGGATGAGGAAGATGTGATCAAAGTGAGGCTTTTGTATGATTTCCGCAATCGATAAAATGAAGACAATCATCGTCGCAACATTAGCAACGGACGGACTCTACGCCACAAAAATGATACGGGCAAAACGGACGAGATTTTCAACTGCCAGGAGTCATATGGCTCAACCCTTGGCATACATTCAAGCGTTGTCTGGGGTAGTGCATGGTCGGTTGGTTGGTTGGCGTGCGTATATTTCAGTTAACGAACGAACACTTGTATAAACACTCCGTTTAGAGAAGAAGCCCCGAAAGAGAAGAAGCCCCGAAACGTGAAGTACTCCTTCCCGGAAATGTTCTCTCCACTTTAAAGAGAAAGTTTGCAAGAAATACGACAATGCAGGAACAAGCCGGATGCCTTGGGTTTTAGACGTTTTTTGTCCCTGTCAATACTCACTATTAAGTTGTGAACATCACAAAACTCAGCCATCGCTTTTACAAGTTTTGTCCTATATGTAACGAGAGAGCTTGGAAGCTCAGGGCCCTACGCTATGCTTTTTTGCCTTGATGACCTAGACAAAAAAAAGCATAGGGATGTTATAAATTCTTTAAAAAAATCCTTTTTTTTTAAGACATGACCTGGGATTCGAACCCGCACTATCGCGCGCCCTGCATGCATCCCCCGGTACACTTCGCATACATACTAATTCTTCCAAGTTGTTTCACATTGTGATCTTGCATTTGAAAGCCCTATTTGAATATGCTGTATGTGGCCAGCCGTCTTTGATGGCACGGTACGGTAGGGGATAGGTACAGGACAGGTACGATCGAGGGTAATACGACACCGTCTCCCGTACCGTACCATCAAACACAGCTGGCCACATGCAGCCGCCCGCAATATTCAAATAGGGCTTTCAAACGCAAGATAATAACGTGAAGCAACTTGGAAGAATGGGTATGAATGCGAAGTGTATGGGGGAATGCATGTAGGGCGATAGTGCGGGTTCGAATCCCAGGATATGCCTGAAAAAAAAATAGGAGAATTCAAAAATTTATAACATCCTATGCTTTTTTGCCGTCAGATACGGATAGCGCCAGGCGTGACACAAACAAACACACAAACAAACACCAAATTAAAGCTGTGTGGACCCTGGCTAGCGCCAGACGTTACTGAAGCCAGACGTTACTGAAGTAACGTCTTCTGCATAGCTACGGGAATAAATAAGTATTTTTGACTGCACGGTGTTGAAGTCAGGAAAGGAACGCAGCTGTAGAACGCAGCTGTATACGATAAAAATGATCAGCTGTAGCACCTACTCCACTTTCATGTTTATGTATGTATGTCATTCGGATCTTCCCAAGTTGTACATTGTACTGTTGAGATACCGAATTCAAATAGATCAATATGCAATACCATACCATACCATACCATACCATACCGTATACCTGGTATACGACCTACATGACTGTGCACTTGCCAGGGCCTGCTAGTGGAGGATTCTGCGATCAAGTAACGTACTTACTAGTAGTTTAGAGAATTCGAATCCGATCCCTGCACTGTAAGCTCTGCATCAGTGAATAGGCACCGGCGGATTCTGCTCGAAAAGGTGGCAGATTCTGCTCGAAAAGCAGTAAAATTGGCAGAACCATACAAACCTTATGGCGGGCAATTCCTCGAATTCTGCTCCTTTTTTTATCCACATACCAAACATGCATGAAACTTACCAGAAAAAGTACCGAATTCTGCCAATTTTTCTGCCGGCAGAATCCGCTGAACCCTACCAATGAACTACCGGTAGTAGTTGCGGCTATGATGTCCACTAACACCACCAGTTACTTGACAATCAGCTCGTGCGATAACAGTCCACGACACTGTGACCGACGGTACTGACGCTGTGCAATTACATGTCTCTGCCAATCAGCTCCCTCCTTGGTCCTTTATTTCGGCTATCAATTCATCCTTGGCTCTCCATCTGCGTCCAACATTGTACGGGCACCATAATAATAATTAATAACATTAAGCGAGGGTCCCTGGTTCGAGTCCTGGTGGTGACAGTCAATTTTTTCTTCAGACTTTTCCCGTTTGTCTCTTTCCCTCAAAACCAGTCAATATTATTATTATAATGGAATTGGACGACTCACTGATCTGCATTTTT